AAACCTGAACCTGGCAAAGCCCAAAAGAGCTTTTGTGCTGAGCAGCTCAGTGGTGCCAGGTATTAATGACACAGACAAGACTCCTAAGAAAAGCTTGTTTGCTGAAGGAGTGGCACTGGACAGGCTACGCTGCAGCTTTCTGGAAAGGATCTAGGCGGGCAGCACTACCCTTCCCTGTCTGCCTGCTCATGGCACTGCCCTACAGACTGAAACGGGTCTCGTGATCACCTAAGTTCAAACCCCACAGGGTGAATCCCTTAGGGTGTCTTCAGTGAGAGCCAAACCGTAAATCAGATGCCTGCAGAGTAAGATCCAAATTCATCAGTGGTGTAAACAGGGCAGTAGGTCAGTTTGGCTCAGTGGCTCTTACCTTTCCAAGGCTGGAGTGGGTGACACTGGCGACCGGGAAGACTCATGCTAGCAGGGGCAGCTCCAGTCCAGTGTCCAGAGGCTGGCTGAGCAGTACAGAACAGCCAGAGAATCCCCTTCAACACTGGGCTTTCACCAACAGACATAGAGACCTGCTTCTGCTCACCCATCTAAATCTAAATGCTTGGTCACTGGTGTGTAACAACCTGGCTCTGAAAGCTTCCCGGGCAGAGGAGGAAATGCTTCAGAGAAGGCTTTTATGCTCCAATTGCCACTTCAAACCCTGCTTCTTGTACTCTTCTAGTACTCTTTAAGTACTTGGGTTTTTTTAGCTGAGAGACGTCTTTTTGTCTTTGGGTATAGATGGAGAAAAACTAGTCAAACTGGAAAGAAATAAAAACAGCTGGCCACTTTTCCAGGCCTGCCATGAACTATAAATAAGTTTTTAAAAGTTCTTTAAAAAGCGCTGAGGTCTTTGGAGAACATGAAAGTCTTAGAGGTGTCATCTTCCTTAGCAGCAGGACATCTTATGTGCCATCCCGATGGCTGGACTCGCTTCACTCTGCCAGAGCCGGTGATAAGCATTGAGCACCACTCAAACCAGCTGCCAGTATTTTCATGCGCTGTGCATGCTCAGATCAGACCTCCACAGTCTGTCTGTCTGGCCTTCAGTGCCTGGTCCACAAGCTCCCCTGGAGGGCTGTGGTTGCTCTCAGCGGTTTAGCACAGCTGCTAAGATGCTTAGAGCCAATATAATCTGTGCACTTAGCGGTTTTGAATTCCAAAAGAAGCTTAGCAGCACCAGGCACTGCCTTCAGCATCTCCTGTATGGGCTTAAGACAGTTTAATTCTTTTATGAAACTGTAACTCTAGCTCATAGCCTTAAACTGTGGAGGTCCCTTCTAAGCCAGGTTTTCTAAAAGCTCTTTAGAAATATTTTTTTGAGACACACACACAACAAAAAAGGGATCCCAGAGGGACATACTATAAGATCAGATGTTCTGCCTCTTAAAGGCTGGAAATATGAGAGGCCCATGGCAAGGCACATTTTAAGCCCTTTGCAGGGCTTTCCTCCATTGTTTCTCCTGTCTTAGATCAGCCTCTCAAATGCTGTAATGCCTGGAGAGGTCCCAGGGCCTTCCCCTCCACCTCCCATCAGCCTTGTGAAAGCATCAGCAGGCAAGCAGCCACCACTATGCCCCAAAGGCAGGTGGCTGAACAGCAAAGCAGCCCCCTGGGACCACAGACTGCCCCTGGAGGTCCCACTTCCCAGCATTTGCTTCATTAACTGCATTTGCTCTCCTTTTGGTTTTTGTTTTTTGTTTTTTTTTACTTTACTGCCCACCTTTACAGGCTGATCAAAAGCACAAGGCGTTATCAAGGGGACCTCATCCTGTTGCCTCAAAAGGCTGCCTGCCAGTCCCAATGACTCTCCCTTCCCTTTCTGTAGGGCTTCTTGTGTGTCTTCCAGGGGAAAGCAGAGAGCTGGGGAGGATGGAAAAAGTGTCTGGAAAGCACATGCAGGGCCAGGCAGCAATAGGGAACTGGAAAAGGTGGAGGAAAAGAGCAGGGAAGTGCAAGCCTGGAGCAGAACACGAGAAGAGTCAAGGCTTCCCACCACCTCCCTCTGTGAAAGCCCACATGGGGCTGGCATGCTGAAGGTGTGCAATACGCTTCTGAGAGGGACAGGCCAGGGGGCTTGGACTAGATGATCTCTGGAGGTCCCTTCCAACCCCTGCCATTCTGTGATTCTGTGAAGGGTCAGGCCTTTGTGCAGAGCCTGGCTGGCCCAGTGCTTCCAGAGCTGTGATGGGTGTCTCTGGTTGCGCTCTCGGAGCTGCTTGCTCTGCCTTTCTGCCAGGCGCTACAGCCGCTGCAGCAGTTCAGCACAAGACTCTGTAGCCAAACCTCACAGCATCCAGTTTCACAGTCCATCTTAATTTAATCAAGGCAAAATTTATCTAAATGAAATGGGTGCAGCATGCTCACAGAATGGAGGTAACAGAAATCCTCCGGGTACCTCGGATACCTAATTAATTCATCAGAAAAGTAGTGGGAACTCAGCATTCTCCTGTGCTAAGAAGTCAAGATAATGGCATGCATCATGGGAGAGGACTGGTGACCTTCCCTGTGCTTGTAGCAATGTTGTCCAATTTAACTGCGACCACAAAATCACAAGTTGTTAAGATTCTCTATGCAGGCAATATACAGGCCAACAAATCTGCTTTTATGGGCCCTGCTAGAACTTGATTAATTTGCCCAGTCCCAGCAGACCAGTGTCCATAATTACTTAGCAGAAGTCTGTCGTTTCTAAGACCCATCACTGCACAGATGCATGCCTCAGACCCAGGACACCACCAAGGGACCTCAAGGGCTGCAAAGAGAGCCTCAGCTGCAAGAAGCAAAATATTTGAGACCTAATTAATATTACATGGCATATTGCTACCATTTCTCCATCAAGTGCAGAGTCTCAGCAGTGCCTGTCCGCATGCAGTTGCTACTGCTAGCACTGATGCTGCGGGAACTCCCTAAGACCGCAGTCCAACTGCTGCTGCGCTCATCTTTTAGCTCCCCATCTCCATGTATTCTGTACAACCCTTAAGAGGATTTCTTCCCTGAAACTGCGCTGTTATGGACAGGTGGACCTTCCCCAGGTCTGCTTTGTTCAGTCAAGTGTTTACAGCTGTTTGGGCTATGAAGCTCCCCACATACATTTTGCCTCGATAGATCATGGCCAAACAGCAAGTGCCTTTGCCCCCAGATATAACGGAATTAAACCTGGAGCCTGGACTAGTTCTTTGCACATACCTCTCCAGGGCTACAGCTCCCTTCCCTGCAGGAGGCTTGGCTTTGAGGGATCTGCCAACAAGCTCAGAGCCACAAAAAATAACAACTTGGGAGCTCAGACAAGCTGGTTTGCAGGCAAACAAAAGCTGAAGCTGTGAAAGTGTGAGGCAGTCAATGCAGTGTCTGGCAGGCTAGCCTCACCACCGCCTTAATCCCCTTTACCTTCTTACATTTATTAATTAGATTTCCAGCCCAGCAACAACAGTCAAAAATGTAACCTTCATCATGTACAAGGCAAGCATAATTAGGATTGTCATTCGAATCCAGCTTGACCAGCATACAAATCAGAACAGCCTCGGTGAGCGTGCGGGTGCGCGAGTGAATGAGTGCGCCTGTGTGCCTTGTCCCTTCCAGGCAGGGGCAATTGGAATTGCAGTCACGCTGTGAGCACCATGGGGTATTTTCAAGGAAAAGGGCTGTGGCATGAGCTCTGGATCCCGTGATCCAAGCGCTATGGTGCTGAGCGCTGCCCAAACAGGGCAGAGGCACATTACACAGTGCAAACTCAAGACAACCCTCCAGTTGTATCAGGGAGGAAGCCACAACCTTCCGAGCCGCAGCACGCGAGCCTGATCTCCCAACCTAGTGTTGCATATACCACAGATCCTATAGGGATGAGATGATACAAAAATGAGAGACCTTGGCAACCTCTGACCACGGTGCCAGTGTGAATTTATAAGGAGTGGGCAGTCATAAGCACTGAGCAAGTACTATCCCTTCCGCAGTCTACCGATGGGAAACGGCGTCACGGGGGGCCAAGTATGCCGTGCGATGGGAAGAGCAAGCCAGGAGCGTTCAATGAAAGCATCAACCCAAGGCGCAAAAGCAATTAAAAAGCAAAGTGAGTGCTAGGAGACAAACAGAGCAAAACCACAAACCTCTCTGTGCTATCAGGTAGCTCCAGGGTACGCCTGCACCCCCATGGCTGTTGTGCCAGTTTGCTAGAGGCTACAGCAGGACTAGGAGGTGGGGCAGGGAGCTAGGTATGGATGATCTAAGGTCCAAGACAGTACAAGACTAAGACTCTTCAGCCTGAGAGGGGACATAGAGGTTTATTGTTCAAGAGTGGCTTAGAGAAAATGAACAGGGAATGGGTGCCTGCTGCCTCTTCCAGTATTTAAGCTACAAAGCATCAAATGAAAACAGTAAGTGACAGATTCAGAACAAAGTAAATAATTCTTCACACAAAACACAGCTGAACAGTGGAACTCACTGCCATAAGACACTATGGATGCTCAAAATTTGCTCAGGCTCAGAAAAGGCTTAGGAAAAATCCATAAAGGACTAATAAATGCAGAAATCTCCAACTCAGGAAATTCCCAAACTACAGATGGCTGATGGTGAGAGGGGGATTCAGGAACACACCAACCTGCATCCCCCTGTTCTTATGCTCCTCACTAGGCATCCTCTATTAACCACTGCTAATTCAGGATCCCAGGGAAGAGAGACCTGCAGTCTGAGCCAGTGCAGTCACTCTTCTGTTTCTGGCACTGATCTGAGCTCTCCTTACTTGCCCTGACGACCAGGAGCTGGGAACGTTCCCATTACTGGTCACTGGGATGCCAACAAGGAGATGTGCTTACAGCACAGAATTTGAGTGAACAGCAAAAGGATCTCTGTTTGCTTTCTATTTTTCCCATTTCTTGTCTTAGGAGAGATTTTTGGGAAAACTCTAACTCAGCCATGCTGCACCCAGCTTAGTTGCAGTTGGCAGCACTGTATACCCCCGTGTTCAGGTCAGAAGTAAGTTAATATACTTCTGAGAGGTGCTAATATCCACCGGGATGGGGTGGAGGAATCCTCTATCCAAGCCTCCAAACCACAGCTGGTGGTCGCTGCGAGAGGCCCCTCAGTGCCCACTCTGTCCTACCCAACGAGCTCATGAGCTGATCGATAAGACTCCCTGTAGAGTTTTCAGGTGCCCTTGCCACCACTGCAAAGAGGAAAGGGAAGGTGAGGACACTCCTGTAGATTGATATCCCCCAGGTCTTGCATCCTCACTTACTGGCTCAGTCTCTCTTAGGGCTGCATAGGACCAGAGGATGTGGTCTCTGACAGAGTCCACTCTTCCCAAGCAAACTCCTGCCTCCTCCCCCTATATGCAGTAAACCTGGCTGACCATCTTAGCTACAGAAATACACCCACTCACTGTCACGTGCCCTTTGGAAGTGAACACACTGATAGGACAGGATTATCTCTTCATCTGCAAAGAGCTGCCAGCCAGCCCTTCTCCTTCAGTAAAACCAAGCGGAGCATTGGTGTGTTTCTCATTAGTTCCTATTATTCATGCTATTGTAGTGTTTCCAGTTTTAAAGCATGCAGACAAGAGACAGCTGAACTGCTCCTGCAACTGCTTGTTTGTTAAGAGGGTTTGATCTGTGGTGGGATGTTTTCAAGTCACGCACAGAGAAGAAGGCATCCTGGTAACAGTCCCATCCTCTGAGGAACTTCCGTGCCCTGGTTCTCCCACCACCTCAGAACAACGCACACAGTCTCATCCCCACCTAAGTGTAAACTGCAGATTATGTTTCTTTTCCCTGGCTCATGGAGATAAGGTGTGAGACAATTTAGCCATACAAAGCCATTTTGCTGTTAAACTGATCCTTTGGTTAAAAACCCCGCTGCAGCACTCCTTTCAGCAGCACTCACAAGAACAGAGCAGGCAGAAACACAGGTCTAAGGCAGCCTGTCCAGTTGCCAGACGACAAGGAAGGGCCACCCACAGCCCTCCATTGACACCTTTACCCATCACTCCAGCCAGGCAGTTCTCCTTTCCTTTGCTCCCAGTGACCCTCCTGCAGCCATAACGGTGCACCCCATGCAAGTGATTTTCTCTTGACCCAGCCTCTCTCAAAGCTCTCTGACCAGCTCCTGAAGTCCTTACTCAGCATCTACTCCCTCCAAATGGGATTAGCCTGAGTCAGGCTCAGCAATATCTCAGGATTTGTCAGTGCTAATTTCTCTCTTGCAGGTGCTTAGCTAGAGCAGAGAGAAGAATAACAGGGAGATGGACAGTCAGGGCTTTTGTCTGATCAAACACTGAGTAAAACTCTGAGCAGGGCTGTCAGAATTTGGCCTATGATGGTTAGACACCCACATAAACACTGTCACAAAACCACTGCGTTGGCCAGGCCGCTTCAGAGTCCAGCCCCATTTTGTCCCTGTCTCTTCCACCCAGACTCAGGTCACCCATAGAGTATTTGAAAGAGGCTGCAATGATGCAGAGCACCCACATCTCTTTCCCCATTCATGGCTCTGAAGAACACTGAGAAGGAAAATGAACCCTGCTGGCCCCATACAGCAAAGAGTCGTGACCATCTCCATTCCCCCAAAGTGAGGACCCAATGGCCACAAGGACAGATTCTTCTGCGGATGCGTCGGATGATACTTGTCTAATGGATGCACAAGGCAGTGGGAACCCCAGGCTGTTCCTATAGCTGCATGCCCTCACATTACAGCTACCAGCCACTCCTGCTCTGTGCACAGGACTTGTGGTCCATCATGGGCACCTGGGCTCAGCATCATCATTGTCCTGAAGAGAATTGAGCCCATGGCTCCAGCTCCAGAAAGCGGAAGGTCAGGCTGAGCCACTGGTTGTACTGGGAGCATGACTCAGCTGCCTGCAAAATCTCAGTGGCTGGAGATGGGATCCAAGCTTTGTTTTTTACCATCCTGTTGGATGGCAGCAATTCTGCCTGAGGAAAAGCATGTGCTAAACTTGCTGTGCACTGCTGGGGGAGGGAGGGATGCATACGAGGAAAACACTTCTGCCCGCAGCAGGCAGGGAACGGTGCCAGCATCGTACTATCAGTTGCAGACGACGGGTGGTGGGCAAAATTCCTGCCACTTTCTAGATTTGTAACAACACCTCCCCTGGGTCCAACAGCAGACTGATAGAAAACACAGCCCACAGAAGCCGTCCCAGCCAGATGGCGTGTTTTGAACCACTCTTAATCTTGACAACCTTTTGCAGCGTTCAAAGAGTTTGCCCAGGAAAAAAAGCTCCCCAAAATGCCTGGATGCAAGGAGCGGTCCCGGCAGCATCCGCTTCTCTCTTTGTCTTCTCCACCAAGCACCTCCCGGCAGCACAACCCCGGGAGGAGGAGGAGGCGCCTGCGGGGGCTGCCCAGCCGCGGGGGGGCGGGTGCTGGGGTAGGGACCCCA